GTCTCTCTTTCTAGTCTCTCTCTTGTCTCTTTTGTTTCTCTCTGGTTTCTCTCTGGTCTCTCTCTGGTTTCTCTCTAGTCTCTCTCTGGTCTTTCTCTGGTCTCCCTCTGGTCTGTTTCTCTCGCCTCTCTCTGGTCTCTCTCTAGTGTCTCTCTCTGGTAAATTCACACTCAACAGATCAGAGAATCAAACACTAGGAAATGGAATAATAACAAAAACATAGGAGACATTAGTCCATAGGGAGCGGGATGAACACTGTCCAGAAATATTCATAAATGTCCAGGATCATCACTGGCTATTTGGAATGGACCGAGTCACTATAGTGTTGAGCAAACCTGAACAGGCTGTTTGAGCATGAATGTGGAGGCAAACGAATGCACATTTTGATGGTAGCAGTGGTGGAGCCAATCAGAAGCAGCACTGGTCACACTACTCCCTAAATCTGAAATCTGAAATCGGAGGCAGAAGGCTCCTGATTGGTCAATTGTTATGAGTCATATCTGGATTTACAAAGACCCTACTACAATATAAACACCAGGATCACAGAGAGCGCTAAGCATGTTTTTTAAGCCCAAAATGGTGAGCAAGCAGTTACTGAGCTAGAGGAGCTCACTTTTTCATGTAAGTCAATAGGAACCATGAGCACTTCCCTATTTGGCTTTGTTGAGCTAGCAGGTTAGCATTGTCCATCTGTGGACAGTCTGTGGTCTATACATAGACTGTAAATATTAACGGACGTAGTCACGCCTATCTCCGCCATTCTAACTAATGTGCCACAACTTCCGCAGTCTATGGGCAGTTTCAAAATGGCCGCGGGGGCTGGAATATGTGAAAAAACGCATCTGCGCATGCGTCAGCCGGCACGAGCCCCATTCATTTAACGAGTGCCTTCAAAAAATCACAGCGACTAAACTAGACTGGTCAAAAAAAATTCACTCCCTTCAGCATTGACACATGTGGAGCGGAGCTTTGGGCCAAGAGCCAAATTTTGGACCATCCCGTAAAGACGTTTTTGAGAGGTCAGCTAATGCTATATGTTAGCATTGAATAATTCTCATTCCGGGTCCATCCCCATTGGCCCGGGGTGGTACTGCAAGCATGTCAGCGCACGTAACCCGCCCCCTCTGGGTCTATGTCACAAACACGTCCCTAAACAAAAAGCTCTATTTACAAACTCATTCAATTATTTACAAAACAGACCAGATGTATCTGTTGTGTAAGACAGCCCTTGTGAGTCACTATTTGACTCTTTGGGATGAGAGCTGATTGGCTGAGAGAGGATGGTCTTCCCTTTTCCATGTATCTGTCTGACAAAGGTGATCTAATGATGTAACAGAAGCCAAAAATACATGAAAACAAATGATAGAAGCAACTGTATTGAAAGCTAATTCAACAGATCTTTGTGCTTTGAAAGTTGCGTACCCCAGCTTTAAATATAAAAGCAGAATAATTTTACTGGGGTGTTGCTCATTCCTGTCATCTCTTATTCCATTTTACATATCTATGTCAGTAAGATATACAGTGATATACAAAGTATTCGGCCCCCTTGAACCTTTCAACATGTCGCCACATTTCAGGCTTCAAACATAAAGATATAAAATTTAATTTTTTTGTCATGAATCAACAACAAGTGGGACACAATCGTGAAATGGAACAAAATGTATTGGATAATTTAAACTTTTTCAACAAATAAAAAACTGAAAAGTGGGGCGTGCAATATTATTCGGCCCCTTTACTTTCAGTGCAGCAAACTCATTCCAGAAGTTCAGTGAGGATCTTTGAATGATCCAATGTTGTCCTAAATGACTGATGATGATAAATAGAATGCACCTGTGTGTAATCAAGTCTCCGTATGAATGCACCTGCTCTTTGATAGTCTCAGGGTTCTGTTTAAAGCGCAGAGAGAACCATGAAGACAAAGGAACACACCAGGCAGGTCCGAGATACTGTTGTGGAGATGTTTAAAGCCGGATTTGGATACAAAAAGATTTCCCAAGCTTTAAACATCTCAAGGAGCACTGTGCAAGCAATTATATTGAAATGGAAGGACTATCAGACCACTGCAAATCTACCAAGACCCGGCCGTCCCTCCAAACTTTCATCTCAAACAAGGAGAAGACTGATCAGAGATGCAGCCAAGAGGCCCATGATCACTCTGGATGAACTGCAGATAACTATAGCTGAGGTGGGAGAGTCTGTCCATAGGACAACAATCAGTCGTGCACTGCACAAATCTGGCCTTTATGGAAGAGTGGCAAGAAGAAAGCCATTTCTCAAAGATATCCATCAAAAGTCTTGTTTAAAGTTTGCCACAAGCCACCTGGGAGACACACCAAACATGTGGAAGAAGGTGCTCTGGTCAGATGAAACCAAAATCGAACTCTTTGGCCACAATACAAAACGATATGTTTGGCGTAAAAGCAACTCAGCTCATCACCCTGAACACACCATCCCCACTGTCAAACATGGTGGTGGCAGCATCATGGTTTGGGCCTGCTTTTCTTCAGCAGGGCCAGGGAAGATGGCTAAAATTGATGGGAAGATGGATGGAGCCAAATACAGGACCATTCTGGAAGAAAACCTGTTGGAGTCTGCAAAAGACCTGAGACTGGGACGGAGATTTATCTTCCAACAAGACAATGATCCAAAACATAAAGCCAAATCTACAATGGAATGGTTCACAAATAGACGTATCCAGGTGTTAGAATGGCCAAGTCAAAGTCCAGACCTGAATCCAATCGAGAATCTGTGGAAAGAGCTGAAGACTGCTGTTCACAAACGCTCTCCATCCAACCTCACTGAGCTCGAGCTGTTTTGCAAGGAAGAATGGGAAAGAATTCCAGTCTCTCGATGTGCAAAACTGAGAGACGTACCCCAAGTGACTTGCAGCTGAAATTGCAGCAAAAGGTGGCGCTACAAAGTATTAGCGCAAGGGGGCCGAATAATATTGCACACCCCACTTTTCAGTTTTTTATTTGTTAAAAAAGTTTAAATTACCCAATACGTTTTGTTCCACTTCATGATTGTGTCCCACTTGTTGTTGATTCTTGACAAAATTAAATTTTTTATATCTTTATGTTTGAAGCCTGAAATGTGGCGAAATGTTGAAAGGTTCAAGGGGGCCGAATACTTTTGCAAGGCACTGTAGATAGCAGAATATAGTCTTACTTAGTTCACTGGTTTTTCGTCTTTATATTTTCTATTTTTATCATGTTTTCTAACTGAAACTAACACATCCATCCATCCATTTTCTTCCCTTTAATCCATTTCTGGGTCAGGGGGGTGGCAGTCAGAGATGCCACCCAAGTCTCATAGCACCAGCCCCTCACTGACCCTCTGCAGGTGGTGAGTCCACAGGAGGACAGCTGCTCTCTGACTGTGAGCATAGCCTTGATCTTTCAGTGGGGGCTTTGGGCAAAGTGGGGTTAAGTGTCTTGCCCAAGGACACAACGACAGCAGTCATCAGTGGGAGTCGGTGGAGAAGGTGCAGAGGTGGGAATTGAACCCACGACCTTCTGGCCTTAAGGCCAATGCTCTACCAACTGAGCTACTGTCGCCCCTAACATTAACACAAATAATGCATAATATGTTGTATTCAAAGCTGATTTGCTTATAATATTATGTAATTTATTCTTACAATAACTTGTAAAATAAAGTGAATGGGGTAGAGTAGCTGCAGTGTATTCCAACATCTGTAAATCAGGGCTTTTTGAGAACTGTCTCCAGCCGACATTAGGACTCCCCCAGGCCCACATTAGAGCTATTAGTCCGGGTTAGATCCTGGTCAGTCCCTGGTCTGTGTAGGTCTGAGGCTGGAGTTGAGCTGAAATACGTTTAAGGCCCTTTTGTTTTGTCAGTGATGAGATAAAAGCCCCAGCCACAGATGAGGCTGCATTCAGGGTCTACTGGGAAATCTACAAAGATGAAAGATAAGTCTTTTAAAGCGACTTTCAAACCAGTTGCTTGTTATAGATATATGCTTTGCCTGTAGCTTTGCCTATAAATATTTGTTGGAATTCAAGTTGGAGATTGTAACTTTTTTGTTTTATTGATATAGATAGAAAAAGTGCAACAACAAAGATCTGTGTAAAGGTAAAATGTCTTAATCTTAGTAGCCAATATGTTAACGTTTGTATAAGAGCCCTGTGAGTCACGATTTGATTCTCTGGTCTGACAGCTGATTGGCAGAGAAACAGAGTCCTCTCTTTTCCGCTTTTCTCTCAGAAAAAGTAACAGAGGAAAAATTCTACAGGTGGAAACTAGTGACAGAATCAAACTGTTTTGAGGTGGATTTTATTAGAGTTTCAATTCTTGTGGTTTGAAATTTAGGTACCTCAGCTTTAAAATTATACCAGTAATAGAATATCTTCATAGAGAAGAGTTGTGTCCACATTAGTCAAAAATCTCCTCACTGCACACTTGCAAGACAGAGCCCTGTGAGTCACTCTTTGACTCTTTGAGTCCCTGAGAGAAGGTGGTCCTCTCTTTTTCTATTTTCACTTTTCTGTCGGAAAAATCCGATCTAAAGATGTGACAGAGGCAAAAAAAACACCGCGCATGCAAACTGTTTGGAGAGTGAGGAAGTAGTGAGATGAATTTTATGGTTAATCTTTTTGTGTTTTAAAAGTTACATACCTCAGCTTTAAGACATGATTTCATTAAGCATTGCCAAGAACAAAACAGAAAACAAATTATGCATATATTTTGCTTTATCAATTCAATTCTGTTTTCCAAAATGACAAAAGTTTTTCCAATATGGCCGCCACAAGCTGGACTCCAATCTGTCATTAAGGGGTGGGGGATCTCTCCTCTCTTCAAACCAGTGCTTTTCAAATGTCGATGGACGCACAATGCAGTCCATAAGTGCGGTTTTTTATCTGGGGATTGTGCTTCTCTTGTCACAGCCAAGTTTTCGCGTTTTCGGGAGAAATTTGACTGGTGAAATTTGGGCCGAATTTGGAGAAAATGAGGAAGAGACATCCCTTATAAGAACACTACAGATGAAGATAGACGCTCTGGAGAGTCTGCTTAATCTGACCAAGAAATCCAAGGATGTGGCGCAGGGCAGGAGTTTTAAGCTGCTAGATCCAGAGGAAACCAGTCTGAAATTGGACAATCTTGATTTGGACCAGTTGGAGTCTCAAAAACTGCAAGTGCACGAAGCCATTCACAAGGTACGCAATGTAGTTTTGTGGTAAAAACTGATTATTGTCAAATTTAACACTGTTAGTTACCTAAATGGTCACACTTTACACTGCTGTTGTGGACTATAGTCTAGAATTTGCTGTGTTTGACTTGGATTGATTGGTTGACAAATGAGATTTAAGCTTGATTTGAAGACCTCATTATTCATATCTAGCATATCGTCAAGAGGTTCTTGCCTGAAATCCAGGGGACAGGGCCTTCTCTGTGGTCTTAAACCCAGGGGACAGGGCCTTCTCTGTGGTCTTAAACCCAGAGGACAGGGCCTTCTCTGTGGTCTTAAACCCAGGGGACAGGGCCTTCTCTGTGGTCTTAAACCCAGGGGACAGGGCCTTCTCTGTGGTCTTAAACCCAGGGGACAGGGCCTTCTCTGTGGTCTTAAACCCAGGGGACAGGGCCTTCTCTGTGGTCTTAAACCCAGGGGACAGGGCCTTCTCTGTGGTCTTAAACCCAGAGTACAGGGCCTTCTCTGTGGTCTTAAACCCAGAGCACAGGGCCTTCTCTGTGGTCTTAAACCCAGAGCACAGGGCCTTCTCTGTGGTCTTAAACCCAGAGCACAGGGCCTTCTCTGTGGTCTTAAACCCAGAGCACAGGGCCTTCTCTGTGGTCTTAAACCCAGAGCACAGGGCCTTCTCTGTGGTCTTAAACCCAGAGCACAGGGCCTTCTCTGTGGTCTTAAACCCAGAGCACAGGGCCTTCTCTGTGGTCTTAAACCCAGAGCACAGGGCCTTCTCTGTGGTCTTAAACCCAGAGCACAGGGCCTTCTCTGTGGTCTTAAACCCAGAGCACAGGGCCTTCTCTGTGGTCTTAAACCCAGAGCACAGGGCCTTCTCTGTGGTCTTAAACCCAGAGCACAGGGCCTTCTCTGTGGTCTTAAACCCAGAGCACAGGGCCTTCTCTGGTGTTGATTGATTCTTTGCAGGTGAAGATAAAACCGGATCATGATCTTGTTCCAGCCGACAGTGTCCGTGTGGAATGTGGAGTGGACGACATCACGGTGGACGTCAAGCCAGACTTTTTAGGTATCAGTCTCAAAACAAATCAAAGACACACATTTACAAAGTGTTTGAGTGGATTTTTATTGGGTACTATTGGGTATTATTTTTCTTTGTACTGCAAGGAGACCAGGCAATAGCTGACCAAAATGAGAAACTTATTATCATTATTATTTATTATTCGTTATTAAGGAAACAATATTCTGCCACATAGGTCAAAATGCACAATACATGCAGTATTGTATTGCAAATAGAAAATTAAATCTTTAGATAATTAAAGTTAGACCATTACAGCTGCTGTATATAAGGCATGACCTCCAGTGATTCTATCATTTTGATAATTAAACAAAATGCACAAGATTATTAGAAATATATTTACAAATGTAATAAAAATGTAAATTGATGTGGGGGGAAAAAAGTATATGGAAAAAACACAAGTGGAAAAAAAAAAATATACCAAAGTATTTTCTCCATTCATGTTTTTGTTTCTGTTTTCCGACAGGGAATGGTCAGCTGATCCACTCCTCTGAGCTCTCACTCGGAGACTGTCCCATAGAAGCTTCCACAGAAAACACATTCCACTTCCAGACCACGCTGCAGAGCTGCGGCAGCACCATGACTGTATGTTCTAGAATGAGATTAAGATGAAGAGATCGATTTGTCAAACCTGTTCCAGAAAGGACTGGTGTGGCTGCAGGTTTTAGGAGCAACACCAGACTCCACCCATTTATTCAAATATTAAATGGGTGGACTCATGATAAAACTGGACTCAACTTTCTGGTCTCTCTCTGGCCCCTCTCTGGCTCTCTTTCGCTGTCTCTCGCTCGCACTCTTTTTCTCTTTTTCTCTCTGGCCTATCCAGCCATTTTCTCACCTCAGTAAATGAGTAGAGTTTGGTGTTACTCCTGCTCAAGTTGGAACCAAAACCTGCAGCCACACCAGTTCTTTGGGGACCGGATTGACACCTGTGCTTTGTTCCTATGTCCCCAGTGTCTGAAGTGTTTGATGTTGAGTATTTATCTTTCACAGCTCTCTGAAGAAGCCCTGATCTACAGCTTCTCCCTGTCCTATCACCCGTTCCCCATCGGAGCCACGTTCATCCTGAAGACCAGTCCGGCTGAAGTCCTGATCGAGTGCCACTATCCGCGGTGAGAAACCAGTTTGTACTTGTGTTATGATCATTGGACTGGGCCATGTGACATCACAAGTAATGGGATACTTGTAGTTCTACTGTCTGTGTGAGTTGGAGCAATTTGGGTCATTTTTTTATTTTTTATTTTTATATGGATTTGTAAAGCGCTTTGAGAGCCTGAGAAAAATAAAAATAGACAAAAATATAATACATGTAAAAATAATCAACCAGAAATTACAATAAAGTGTAATATAAAAACAAATAAATGAGGATAATCAAAATGATACAACAAAATAAAAAATATTATACAAAATCAACCAAAATATTTGAATAAAAAAATAATGATTTTTATTTTTTTTATTTAATGGGAAAAAATGATGCACATTAGAAATGGATACTAAATGTGTTTTGATCAAATTTACTTTTTTCAATAGAGCAGCAGAAAGACCAGTAGGAAAAAGTTCTTGAGCCATCAGCTTTCTCCTCTTGTGTTGGACTATGATACCAGCTCACAGCTTATTTCAGGTTTGAAATAAAAAACGTTTCTTGATTTAAAACTATAAATGTTTCTCAGGCACCAGTTGGTCAGCAGTGAAGGCGTCAGACCCACCTGGTTCCCGCTGTCGGCTCAGATCTCATCCAACCAACACCTTCAATTCAAAATGCAACTTATGAATGGTAATACACATGGTTTTTTATGAATATTAGAGTATTAGCAGCAGCTATTAGGGTTTAAATTTAGTTAGAATGAACGTCTTTCAGATTGATAATGCTCAGATTATAGGGGATTATGGGGGAAATTTCAATGCTAATATTACAATTTATGCTACTTGTAAATTTCTCCTGGGTGAGATTAATAAAGTATATCTTAACTTGCAAACGCTGCACTCTCAAAACTGTTCAGCTCTCAGCCCTTAAAGTCAAATACAGGGCGACAATGGCTCAGTGGGGCAGCTGCGGCTGTAAAGTGCCAAACTGCCGTAGTGTCCTTATAAGACACTTTACCCCCATTGCCTATATTGAGTCTGGTGTGTGTGTGAATGGTTAGTGGTGGTCGGAGGGGCCGATGGCACATACTGGTTGCCTCGCTTCTGTCAGTGTGCCCCAGGGCAGTTGTGGCTACACTAGCAGTTTATCACTGTGTATGGAGTGAATGAATAATGACCTGTGAAGCGTCTTTGAGTGTCCAAAAAAGCGCTTTTATTAAACAGATTTATTATTATAAAATAGTTACTAATTCTGAAGGCAGAATTTACAAAACTTTTTCTATTTGGATAAACCTCTAATTATTGACGAAGCCAAAAATTAAGTACCCCAGCTTTAATAGTTTGAAAACACATGGACAGTATCCCGGTGTGTTTTTCTGTTAGGACCTGAACTTTATAAGTAGTTTATTCTTTCCAGTCCCAGCCCACAAAGCAGTTAAGGCCTCTTTCAAAGTGCATTATGTAATATCTATTTACCTTTTTTATGCAATTGTCCACTCTAGTTCTGAGCTACAGGCTGCGCTTTAATCCTATCAGTCTCCTCTCAAATCTACTTTTCCATTGTTGCTGTTGTTTTCAAACGGATTAAAACAACTTGTGGAAAGGATCAACATTTAACTTCCAACATCATAACTGGAAAGATCATTGTTTATAGATAACATTGATATGACAACCAAAACGTGCGGCAATAAATTCAAAAGAAACCTTGTACGGCCAATCAACCTGCTGCAACCTGTCACTGGAAATGAAAGTAAAATCATATATCATTCATAATACTGCTAGAAAAGCAATTTAAAGTTTTTAACTAGAAAAAAAATAGAAGTACAATGCTACTGTCGTGGGCTCACTTTCGATGTGCTAACATGATCAAAATAAAAGTAAACCAGCAACGCCAGGGTTTTAAATCCTGAATAGAAATGCATAACGCCCTAAGGCACACAAGCAGATGTATATTTTCTTCTTTCTTTGGTTTAGAGTCACTTTAAAACAAGTGCACAGCGTCTACAAAATGAAAGCAATGTAGTTCTTGCACCCGGCCCGTAGGAAGCTGTGGAACTTAACTCGTGCTGCCGCAAAACGGGAAAGAATGCATAAACGACATTCTGTATTTAACAGTAGCAGTGAAAATGGAAACAAACTACAACTTTGCATGGTTTTGTTTGGACGAAGGAGTAGAATTCTGTGTAGCGCTCGACGCACACGTTAGCATTAGTTGGCCTCTGAGCCAGCCGCATCAAAAGGAACCGCGACCCTTTAGAGCGTCCAGTTACATAGGCTATAGAAAGACGATAACGTTTTTAGCTTTTTTTCTTTTTGATCAAGTGTTTGTGTTGCGCTGCACAAACAAATGACAATGGTTATGAAGCAGAAGATAAAAGCTCAAACATTTTAAAAATTGTCCCCCTCCCACCCACCCCTAGGTTCACCCACCCCTAGGTTCACCCACCCCTAGGTTCACCCACCCCTAGGTTCACCCACCCCTAGGTTCACCCACCCCTAGGTTCACCCACCCCTAGGTTCACCCACCCCTAGGTTCACCCACCCCTAGGTTCACCCACCCCTACATAAATACCCTTGCACATGCGCGCACACACCCACCCAACCGCCTAACCCACCTACCCCCATTCTCCAGGTATTGATATTTTATTACTTACTTATAATTATAGGCAAACAATATGGCGAACTTCCTCCGTCATTGACATCCACAGAAGCCGCAGTATATACATAAGTCTTATGTACAAAGAGAAAAAAAAAATACACAGTACATAAAAGGTAGGTAAATAAAAAAGATAGATATTGGTTTTATATAGATCTATGTATAATACACTGGTGGATGGGCTGTACAAGTTTAAGAAATCAGACCAGCAGATTATATATACCGCTTTGGCCTTATGAACCCGGGCTGCTGACGGCTCTAATTGACTCTGTAGCTGCTGGCTACGTAGAGCCACCAGCAGGAGGTAACATCTGTAACTAACAGGATCCATTCTTTCCATTCATTTTGGAACAAGGTCCAACAGTTCATTCAGCGGGTCCAGGCGAGCAATATATTTTTCTCCATCAGCCACTCCAGAGCAAAGGCCGAACCTTGTGTGCTGGGGTGTGTTAAGAGCTCTTCCATCATATACATACTGCAATCTGGACCCACATCTCACAAAAACTCAATCAATATTTACTAAGAGGTTTTATTGTTTTTAACAAAGGCCATAAGATCAACATCAATGCTTGAATAATAACAAATTGAACTAAAATCTGAATCAATAACGTGTGTGTGAGAATAAAAGATGTTTTTTTTATTTATATAGCACCTTTCACAGATCAGTCACACAGCACTTTTGTTGTGGGCATTCGTCTCACTCCACACCTTGGATCTATAATAACTGGATAGGGTATTACTAGCTTATATGTAGCTGTCCCACCCTCGTGCACAGGGGGCGCCCGTGGTACTGCAGACCAAATTTACGCGGGCTACCCAGGAAAAAAGTCCCATAGATCTCAATGTAAACTAAACAGCTGGACCTCAGCTGACAGAATACCTACAGCTTTCATAAAGGTCAGATTCTGTGGGGATTTTAGTGTCCCTTGTCATCCTGAACTTTTTTTTCTTCCTAAATCCTTCAGTTTTCTTTAAATCCACACTTTACTGCCACAAACTCTGCTCCTTTCCTTCCTGCTCTGACTCCGCTCTGCTGTTGCTCTGATCAGCAGCTCTGATTGGTCAGAGCACGGCCAAGCCCCTCTGTGCATGAGAGCCACACACGCGTATTTGGCGCAGCTCGTCCACTGCGCAGAACCGGGAAGACCAGACGATGCCCAAATATGAGAGTTCTGCTAATCTTCTGGTCCCCGTGAAGTCTCATGCGCTACTGAGCACAAACCATTAATTTGAATAGGGCGCCATCTTGGATCACCGGGACTTGCTCCACACAGAGATGGGAGTAGGTCGCCTACAGGAGGCACACGCCAGAGCTACAGGTCTAGTCGTCGGGGCAACCGTAGTACCCAGAGGAGAACATGTAAACAACACACAGAAAGTGCTGGAGGTGGAATTGAACCCAGGACCTACTTGCAGTGAGGCACTAGCGCTAACCACTGTGCCGTCTGTTTTTTTATGTTTGTGCGCACATGTATTTGTGTTTAATGGAAGTATTTTTAATATATTTTGAACCTTCCTTTGAATAGCTTGTCATTTTTGTCTGTGTTTTTTGTCATGTGTATAATTGTTGTTGCAGAGGACTGGAGCTCGCCGAGGCCCTCTAGTGTCTTCTTGGTGAATGACGTGCTGCATGTGGAGGTGTCTGTGGTACAGGGACATCACATTCCACGAAAACTGTTCGTGGACGAGTGTGTGGCCACCGCGAGCCCCAGCCCCGACTCAGAACCCCGATATGAGTTTGTCAGCAATTATGGGTGAGATTTTGATTGGACTTTTTACAGCTTAACTAATGTCATTTATCCAGGATACTGTATTCTTACTGCTTCTACTATTAGTAATTCTGCTTCTGCTACTAGTTATACTACTGCTGCTACTACTAGTAATCCTGTACTACTGATGTACAATAATTCTATATTAAAGATGGGGTACAAACTCTAGTAGTAGAGTGCATTTTCTTGGCTTATTATCCTTTTAGTTATACTTCAACTACTGCTACTTATGCTGCCACCACTGATCTATTGCGTTAGCAGCACTCGTTTACAGTCACAGTAGAATGTCAACTCAAGGTGAAGACATATGTTCACACCACAAACATGTGAACTATAAAATTCCCTGTCACCAGTTCCTGGCACTAAAATGGTGGCTTCTGTCACATGTTTTCATGCGTTTTTTTCACTGCTGACCAACTGGTGCCTGAGACACATTTACATGAGCTTTCAGCCCTGTGAGTCAAATGGTGACTCACAGGGCTCTTACACAGAAGAAAACAGTATAATTTTACAAGATCTCTATGAGCTTATATTAAGCTGTGTTTGCATTGCACTTAAATTATAAGGTAGAAAACCTAAAATTACTTCAGATATGTTACCCGACCATGGCTGAGTACTGGGAGAAGAGCAATAGGTGACAAATTAATGGTAATATGAAAAAAATACTACAATCTTGGTCAGTTGTATATCATCTTAGGTATTTGGACCAAAGAAGATGGAGTGAGCAGCAGGGGATGAGCTCAATGTTATGTCTAGTTCAGTTTTATGGGTTACGTGTTGAAATAATAATCTTATTGTTTTCAGGTGTTTTATGGACTCTAAACTGACCGGAGCAAAGTCATTTTTTCTGCAGAGAATCCAGGAAAATGTGCTACACTTTAAACTTCCGGCATTTCAATTCAGACAGCAGCTCGGTCACTCCGTAAGTGCTGCTACTATTTTCACTGCTACAGCTACTGCTGCTGCTACTTATGCTATTGCTACTGATCTTTCAAGCATATTAAATCTGGGGTACGTAACTTTCAAACCACAAACATTTTGACCATATAATCAAATCCTTATCTCTCTTGCTCCCTCTCAAAACGGTTGCTTCCATCTCTTGTTTTCTTGACCTCGAGGCCGTTCTTTTCAAAAAAAGGGAAAAACTGGAGAACTCACTCAATCAGCTCTCAACTCAAAGAGGCAAATAGTGACTCTCAGGAATTTCTTACACAAAAGATAACATGTTTTTTAATGAGATGGAGAAGGCATGTTGTGTCTGATTTTTTTCACAATATTTTACTTTTACAAGCCTTTCTGTTGAGACAAACATGTTTTATGGAGGAGATGAAGTATCTCTGCTTTAAAGCCATGGTTTTTTAAATGCTGTGTTTACTGCATTACTTCTTCAGGTGTTTTTCTACTGTAAACTCAAAGCTGCTTCAGTCTCTGTGCCGATTGACCCAGAGCACAAGGCCTGCTCCTACCTGAATGAAGCCAGCAGGTACACACGATCACATCTCTGTTAATGGCAATATCTTAATTAAAATGTGTGTGTTGTTTTTCAGGTGGGTGGCTTCAGACGGAGACAACAAAGTATGTGCATGTTGTAACAGCGGCTGCAGAAAGAAAAGGAAGAGGAGCAGTGGTCAAAAAGGTTCAAATGCTACACATAAAGACTGCGTAAAAATGTTTGTCAATTAACTTCAATGTATTTTTGTAATGCCCTAAATCACAATAGCAGTCATCTCTAAAATGTCAGAAACAGAAGAATTTTTGTTACTGCTGTTGTAACAGGAAGTCACAAACGAGGAATTTGCTTTGGCTCAAGATGCAAACAAGTTGTACAAAAATATTTCATCGATATGAATTCCTCAACAGATCAGAAAACCAAGAGAATTGCAATAATAACAAAGCTCATTGATCCGTGGGATGACCATATTAATCTATTTCAATAAATGTTAATATATGTCTCATATCTGCTCAAGCAATTTCTTAAAAATTCTCTGATTTTCAACAACCAACATTTTGTTGCAAATTGTTTGGTTAATTTCTTAAGTTTTTGTTTCTTTTTAGCTGAACAATGGGAGGCAACTACAGTCATGGGCCCAGTCCTCTTCACGTCTGCGAGCGATGACTCTCTGCAAACTGAAGCACGTACGCATTTCTACTTTTAAAACACTAAAGACCATAATGATTCCCTCTGATACAGACTTCTCTTGTATTTCCAGCCTCCTCTTTCTCTCCGGCAGTCGGATGTGGAGCTGGAACCTTGCTAAGCCTTTTCCTGTTACTTCTACTTCTGGCTATTTCCTTCAGCAAAATACACAAACCACAAACGTACCAAGTCCACGTTTAAGAATAGTAAATTAAAGCTATATTTTTTATTCCCTCTGTGGATAACATTGTCCTGGGGTTAAAATGAGTTTGGTTGTATTGACATGTGCTGTGGACTTGGATCTCTGCATTTAGAGCAGTTTTATGAAAAATCTACGACCGGTGCTAGCAAGCATTTGTGATCAATAAAGTCTTTCCCTCTGATGCTTTGGTCTCACGTCATTATAAAGTTGTTTTCTGTGCGTTTTGAGTAAGATCTGATGATTTTGAAGAAATGTTATGCATAAATCCATCCATTTTCTTCCGCTTCATCCATTACCTTCCCCAGTTCATCCAGGGGGGGCCCCAAGGCATTCCTAGCTGAGAGACGTAGTCCCTCCAGCGTTTCCTGAGTCTTCCCCTGATCTCCTCCCGGTGGGACACTTTGCTGCAAACCGTCCCAGTGCATGTTGGAGCCAACAGGACAACATTGTCTGCAAACAGATGAAATCCTGTGATCTCCGAACCGAACCTCCTCCGGCCCCTGGCTGCGCCTGGAAATTCTGTCCATAAAGACCGGTGACAAAGGGCAGCCTTGGCGGAGGGCAACATGCACCGGGAACAGGTCTGACATGCAGCCGACGATGTAAACGCAGCTCTGGCTCCGGTCATACAGGGACTGGACGGTCCTCAGCAGAAGACCCCGTACTCCCGGAGAACCCTCCAAAGGAAATCCCGGGAACACGGTCGAACGCCTTCTCCAAATCCACAAAGCACATGTGGACAGGTTGGGCGAACTCCCATAAACCCCCTCCTCTCCGATGGAAAGTATAGAGCTGGTCCAGTGTTCCACGGCCGGGACGAAAACTACACTGCTCTTCCTGAATCAGAGTTGACCATCGGCCGTAGCCTCCTCTCCAGTACCTTAGAGTAGACCTTACCGGGCAGGCTGTGGAGTGTGATCCCACAATAATTGGAACTCGCCCTGCGACCCCGCTTCTTGTAGAGCGGGGCCACCACACCTGTCTGCCACTCCATTGGCACCGCCCCAGATCCCCACGCGATGTTGCAGAGATGTGTCAGCCAAGACGTCCTACGACATCCAGAGACTTTAGATCCATCCACTCACGGATGGGATAAATAATACATGTAATTTGTTCCAATGGAAGAAGTGAGGATCACCTTCAAGAGACCAGTGAGACACCAGAGAGCAACCAGCGAGTGAGTTCAGGTGGGTAGTAAAGTGTGTAAAGTGTGTGAGGGGTTTTACAGCCTTATTTAGGGCTGGGCGATATGGCTAAAAACCCAAACCCAATTTGAATTGATTTTTTTTTCTATAAACGAACTACAACTGAAAAAGAAATCAATCCACTTCCAGATTGGATAAATAATACATGTAATTTGTTCCAATGGAAGAAGTGAGGGTGGTCCTCTATTTTTTTAATATGTCTGTCTGAAAAATCTAAAGTGGATCTAAAGCTAGAAATACATAAAAACTAATGATAGAAGCAAACTATCATAAGAAGCTAGTTAACCAAGGTTTTAGTGGTTTGAAAGTTACGTACCCCAGCTCTAAGCCCTAAGAAAATGCATGAAGTATAACTAGTAAGTGTTGTCGTAGAACAGGCCTGTAGACTTGGATACTCACTATGATCAAATCCATACTGCTACATCCTGCTAGCATCATTAGCTTTTGATTCGCCTCCTGTGTTTCCCTCTGGTAATAATAGCATTTCCGCCGCTCATAAATTACACTGGGCGCTCCTCCATACAAACTATCTCTGGACTCTTCCCTCTTTTCACAAATGACCACAATAAAAGCCTGTCTGGTTTTAACGACCTGTAAAATTAGAAGTATCCATCTCCACATGAGCTGAGGAGAGGAGTCTGTCGTATGTTCTAAAAGGATATAGATTTGTTTTTTTAAATGTGTTTGATTATACCACGGCTAAAATACAACACAAGCTGAAAATTATCTTAATGCGGACTTTTAGTATTTTGACTTTAAGTGGACCGGGCCTAAATTAAAGTTAAAATCTGGTCTGAACACACATTGTTTCTCACTGTATTTACACCTGGTTTATCAAGTGGAAAGAAAAGTTTAGAGACCAGAGAGAGGGGGACTGGAGTGACACCAGAGAGAGACCAGAAAGACAGACCAGAAAGAGCGACCGGAGAGAGCGACCAGAGAGAAACCAGTGAGATACAGGAGAGCCACCAGCCAGAGACCAGAGAGAGAGTGAGATCAGGTGGTTAGAAAAGTGTAAAGTGTGTGAGGCGTTTTACAGCCCTGCGATAAACAAAGACACCACTGTATTATAAATGGAATAAATATGACGTTCTGTCTCTTTAACACACGCCCTCTGCTGCTCTGTGTGTCAGGTCGGGGTTTGTTGGTCCCACTCACAGATCGACAGCTGTCACTTAAACCCAGGAAGTGACCGGGCCTGTGCCGAGACCTTTGAGCTGCTGTTTTATTTTTATGTCTCTGCAGGAGGGAAACTGGGCCCCTAACATTGGCCCCTGACACTGAGGGCCCCCATATTCTCACATGATATAGGACGTCCCGCTGTCTCTGCAGTTTCCATTGTCTCATATATGTTTATGTAGTGGCATCTGGGTGGTGACAGATGACGAAGGTCAAAATCTCTTTTTTTTTTTTTCTATTGATTTCTATAGCTGATAAAAGTTGAATTGTATTGTTTTGTATACACACACACACACACACACAATCTCTTTTGTCGATAACTGTCTCTGTAAATTGTGGCTGTAAAAACTGTATGTCACTTGCATGTATGGGACTCATATGAGTCTACATCCGTGTTATCTCTCGTGTCTCACTGGTTTCTCTCTGGTCACTCTACGATCTAGGTGGTCTCTCTCACTCTGGTCTCTCAAGTCTCTCTGGTCTCACTGGGCTTTCTCTTGTTTCACTCTGGTCTCTTTTCTTTCTCTGTTTTTTCTCCAGTCTTTCTGGTCTCTCAGGTCTCTCTCTATGGTATCTATGATATCTCTGGCCCTCCCTCTGCGTGATAGAAGCAAAGTGTTTTAGAGTCAAACTATATATAGTTTGACTCTAAAACGTGACATCCAATTACGGTTTTAAATTATGATTTATTATTTGAAAAAAAATCTCTTAATTTTACTTTTATTTTTTATATTCTGTTTTATTTTTTTTCCTTTTGTGGTATTTTTATGAACGTATGTAATTGTTTTTATAACTAGTGCATGTGTAAAATACTGTTTGCTTTTACAGTGTTTTGGCGCCACCTGGTGTTCACTTTTTCATTTAACATCTGGTTGATTAAGAATGCACAGAACAAAATAACGAGGGAAAGTACGTGTTGTGCGAGGCGAGCCCAAACATTTTTAAAGTAGGTACTGCAACTGATTACAACTCTAAGAAATAAACAATTATATAATACAATATATATATATTTTGAGTTCGTTTGTTTTGTCGCAGCACATTTTGTAAACACAAGATGGCGCCGTTCACCTACTTTAACGAAGTCGCGGTTGCTATAATTCTCAGAATGAAAATATTATATATAATATTTATATTATTATTTATATTATAATAAATTATAATATATTTATATATAATAAAAAGCAAAGCAATAGTGACGTATATAGCTTTTTACTCCTTTAAAAACTTTGATCATTTTTTCTGTTGTTGTAAGCGAATCGGATTTATCAGTAGAATCAATGCATTAAACATACTGTATGACAACATTGTTCCCTCCTTAGGTAAGACAAGGCAAGTTTATATGTATAGCACATTTCATACACAAGGCAACTCAAAGGGATGCTGAACAAAACAAAAGAAACCCAACCCTAACACAAGGCACTAAAATCCTAAATAATCCCAGTACGTTAAAAAGTCCTTTACTTTTTACACTGTACACTCATGATTGTGTGTCTTCCTCAGACTCTAACCTGATCCTTAAATATGCTGGTCTCATCAGTAATAACGATGAATCGTCTTATACATAGTTCCCACAGACCAATGAATGTCACATGACCTCCTCGGAGACGCCATCTTTGATGGCACGCTGCTGTGTTTGTGCATTCCATTAAACAGAAGAATGAGAATAAATGTAGATATTCAAACGCAAATTGGAAAAAAAGGGCAACTTTTGAGCAAATAATTGTATATTAATACAATGGCACCACAGTTTAACGTGCTACGGACATGTTTTACATATTTGATCAAATTATGCAGCAAAAATTAACAAGCAATGCAAACATTTCTCAAAAACTTTAGATTTAATACCAGTTGGAGCTCCATTTAATTATTTTAATTATATTAACAATTAATTTAATTAATGCTAATGCCACACGGACACTCTGGATTGCTGTTATTGTTTATTTCCGCGTTTTTGACCGTATGTTTTGGTGAATGGTGGGCAACTGATTTTTCCAGGCGTAAAGAGCAGTTTATTTTATGACACAGATCTTTTTACAGAAGCAATGCTGTTTGTGAACATTGTTTTAGCCCACCATAGAACTATTATTATCTATTTAATACATTTACGTTGCCCTCGAGAGCCTCGGACGCGACACCGATCCTCCTCATAATAAAGTAATCTAAATAATGAAACTCTCAAGTTACCAGATATCAGCATACACAAGTTAGTACTGAGTAAATTACGTCTGTCAACACATTATAAGATACGATACGCACCTGACACAAAGTACTCCGAGCATATTCTTGCGTGTTTTGAGGGAGTTTCTTGCCTGTTTATCTTCGCAAGCCATAACCTCCGTGGTTGTTCTGACAAAAGCTTAGTCTTCTCACATTCATGAAGTCTAATGATGGGTATACTGTAAAATCCAAGTTTAACGGAACCTCCGGCACGATTTGAACATCCATTGACCCAGCAGGAGATGACCATTTTCAACTTTATCACGACATTAACACGTTTCAGCTTCTTTTTCTATTGTTTTGCCCACAGAATGCCAACACAAATGGCGCCGGGTCGGCAAATCCCTGTATGTAGTGACGTCATGTAGGAACTATGTATAGAGCCGAGATCCAAAACGTGGTTCAGTGGAGTAAGGCTAACAACCTCCAGCTGAACGCATCCAAAACATGTGAACTGGTCTTTGATTTTAGTCGCAATAGTTCTCATTTGCCTGTCGCAATCGATAACTCCCAAGTGCAGATTGTAGAGGAGTGTAAGTTTCTGGGTCTAACTCTGTCTAATGACCTGAAATGGGTTAAAAACACTGATCGGGTCGTAAAGAAAGCTCGTCAGCGTCTCTACTTCCTGCGGAAACTTAGAGAATTTACCACTAACTCTAAGATTCTGCTGAACTTTTATCGCTGCACCATTGAGAGTTTACTTGTTGGTTCTGTGTCTGTGTGGTTTCGAAACATCACAGATAAAGAAAAGAGAGCTTTAAACAAGGTGCTCCGCTCTGCTAAGAGGACTGTAGGCTGTGAACTTCCTGTCCTGGAGGCTCTTTATCAATCCAGACTTTTTAACAGTGCCCTGAGAATTATCAATGACTCTTCTGGCCACCCAGGAAAAGCCTTGTTCCAGCTTCTTCCCTCTGGCAGAAGATACTGTTCTCTGAGATGCAGGACATCTCGTTATGCTAATAGTTTTTTTCCACGAGCTGTTATCAGTTTGAATAGAGCACTTTAATGCTTTAATGTTTTTGCACTTGTATAGATCTGTTTTAGTTGGTCAACTTCACAGTGACATTTGTTTACTGTTTTTAAAATGTGTTTTATTTTTGTCTTTTAATGTTGTTTTATGTCTGTACTTGTCCTGTGCACACTGGGAACTTATGTATTCCAATGTAGTGTTACTGCAAATGGCGAATAAAATGAATCTGAATCTGAATCTGAAGAGTAACGATACAAAACTGTTTTAAGAAGTGTTTTAAACCTTGATTTGAACATTATCAGAGAAGAAGCCTGAAACTCTGCCTCCTCATGTCTAGTCCTGACTCTGGGCACCAGCAGGAGGCCAGTCCCTGTGCTGCTGAGAGTCACAGTGGGTTCATATGGGACTAACATGTCACAAATGTTTTTTGTGGTTATTATTTGCACATTCAAACAGTCAATCCAGCATTTTTAATTCTCACTGGCATTGCACATTAAAGGTCCTGTATTGCACGCTTCTTCATGTTTCACAGTCCATCCTATGTGCATGTGTGATCAAAATGTGGGTGATACACCAAACAGCTCTCAAAACTTGTGCGATTACAGCCATTTCTTGCGCAAGGGTGATGTCACCTCAATTGAAACGAGCTGATCCCTGTTACTCTGCTCCTCTGCCAGTGAGCTCGCCTCCCCTGCCCATTTCAGACCTGAGAATAAACTCAATGGCACTGTCACATAGAGCCCTATGTCCTTGGTCCAGAATCAGACCTAATTATTTAGTTCACATAGTATACACTTAAAGTTCAAGTATACGGCGAGTTAGTAGTACTTTAGATCAGGGCTTCGTGTTAGCATCTTTTATCATGGGAATAACAGAGTTCCAGATCAGTTTTTGAGTTTGTATTAAACAGTATTACAGTAAACAGTATTAAACATATTCGTAGTGGATTTTAGAGGCAGATCCCCACATTCCTCGCCTTCGTGCCAAAGAGTGCGTCACATATTTACACCAACAGTCAGTAAAACACAGTACAGTAAAACAGTCCTCTTTAGTTTAGCATATGGCTAGGAAGGTAAAACTCAGGGAAGGCTAAACTCCTCAGACTGTCAGTCAAGCTGCATAGGGAGTCAGTTTGCTGGGAAAAGTATGGTAACTTGAGCACTATCCTCTCCTCCTTCCTACTTTATCTGTTTTGCATTATTAGGATTTTGACTGTAGTTTGTTCATTGCTATTCACCCGTTGTCCCATTGTCTGTTTCATGGTACGATGACGGGACCTCTGAGCCTGGCCTCCTCCATCTACACCTGCAGAGTGCCCTGCCTGACCCGCCTGGGAGTGCTTCAGTCCTGCACCGGACCTGTCCACTATCTCCGGCCACTGGTCCACGTTCTGTAGCTTAGGTCCTGGATCTATAGCTCGTCCGTCCGTGTAGGAGCGGATCCCTTTCTCAATTGTGGGTCTCCCCAAGGTTTCTCACTTTTTTCCCTACTAGGTTTTTGAGAGTTTTTTCCTTGCCGATGCAGGAGGGTCTTGTTGGACAGTTAGGGTCTAAAAAAAAGAATTTAGTGATGATCCAGGACATTTTAACATTCTACAACATGTATGGACATTTTCTTTTTAACACGTGTTCTATATATTCTTTCTGTGTTTTAACTGTTGATTCTCCGATCTGTGTTGGTGATTTAAATGGTTTTGTTAAGTCCTCTGAGATGACTTCTGTTGTGATTTAGGGCTATACAAGAATAAATTGTAATGTATTGTATTGTAATTGTACCAAAAACACATTTTCTCCAAGTCGACATGATCCTAACACTTTAAGTCGCTGACAAAAGCAGAAATACAGTATAGCTCCATAAAGTGGACGCACAACCATAGACATACAGTACACTCGTGGCTGG